TGCTAGTGTTGCTTTCTTTGGGAGTTGGTTCCATTCTGAAAGTGTTCTTGGGTAGAATGAGTACTTGTAATAATCCTTTGTGGCCATAGGCTGAGTATACACGTACTCCTTGTTGAAACGGGTAGAATAGGAATGACCAAGTGGCTTAATTCTAACATCATCTTGACAAACCAGCTTATTTCGTACCTTGTAAATCATAGATAGTCGTGAATCAATTACAATTATATTGTATACTTGTAAGAATTGCAAGAAATATCTTTGCTGTATGAATATATAGCCCAAATTAAATATCTAATAACTTACTCTTGATGGATAAATCGTTTAAAAAAGCCTATTCAATTAGCCTACAGGATTTCTTCCTGACTTCAAAGCCCTTATTAAAAAAATAGGAATGGCTTTTACAATGACAATAGTCCCCTTCACAGTTCCCTGCGCCATCTTGAAAGGTAGCCATGCCTTTGCATCGAAGCGAGACGAACGGTGAGCTTGCAATGATAGAGACCTTTTTTTAACACCTTGGACAATTATTCACATGTCTCTATCATTGCAAGCTCACCGTTCGTCTCGCTTCGATGCAAAGGCACGGTTACATTTCAAGATAGCGCAGGGAACTTTGAAGGGGACTATTAGCTCAAAATGACTGAAACTTTTGTTGGTTATAGCGTACTGTAACCAACATAAGATTCACTTTGGCATTTAGAGCTAATTCTCAGATAGATATTTTCTATTTGATAATGATTCAACTTTTTTGACAAGGATCCTAGTTTGACGTCATCATTTTGGGATTTCTATATTGAATATTTTAGCAACGAAAACAGATACTGATCAAAAAGAAAGTAATGGCCATTCTTATTTATTTAATAGGGGCTTCGAAATCAGGAACAGATTCTGTAGGCTTGATATGTAGCTTGCAAATGCCTAATCAAGCTGGTAAAATGAGTAATCGCCCTCATATTTTCTATTCAGTGTCTACTTTGTTTAGTTCATTTTGYTATCTTGGTGAGAAATCGATTGTCTGAACTTCAAGAGTTTACGAGACGACTAAGATTTCTTTAATTTTCTTCACATTTTGACGATTTTATTGAGGTTTTTAAGCATCACTATACAGTTTCTTATAACATGACACCATAGAAACCTTAGCTTGGGCTACCTGTGAGATAATATACCATGCTAGATATTATTCAAGTGAAACGGTTTTTATTTTAAAGTGTGACAATTCTTATACAGTTCAACGGAACCCACCGTAGGAGGGACCCTTATGTACTAATATGTTTACACAATAATTTAATAAGCCTCAATGGCATCTGAGCCCGTATACTTTTGGGCAGCGGCAGCGGCATGAGACATGACATTGAAACCATGCTTTTACATTGYCATRAAACACTTTAACAGTTTGCATTAATTTATATCCCTTGTGATTTACTATCTCTTGTAAAACCTTCTATTAAGTATGGAAACAAGAGAAGTGCATATGTTATTAAATACGATGAAATGTACGTATAACAAAATTCATCGAATCCACAAATTAAGTGCATACGGTGATGACTGACAAACACCACTTTCTTGGGCTACAACAACTCCGAAGTCACACTCAACCTCTGTGGTGACAAAATCAGCTGCGTTCTCTTCTGTAATACCAATACCATGGTCAGCTCGTGCGCATGCGTCACCACCTCCACCAATCATCATCACTGCTCCATCACCGGCGGCCCAATGACACCAAAACCCAATCCTATCACTGCTTTGAATGTTACCACTACATCGTGCTTGAGAGAATCCATCAGTAGAGGAGTATTGACCACCATACGCTACACTACAGCTTCCAAGACATCTGTCCTTTGCCCAGACGACACCGTTGCGGAAGTTCCCATAGCTTGTTATCTTTGAACGAAATGTACGGTATCCCAGACAGTTGGATGTGGTTCGTAGTAGAGCAGTGTGAGTTGAATCATCAGATCGTGTGATCTTGATCTCGCTGCCTGAAAGTGACCAGAAGGCGGGGGATATCATGTCTTGATTGACAGACGTACTTGTGGTGCTTCCTTGACCTGTCATGACGTCATACCACCAGRAGGCATCGTCTCTCATCCAGTTCTTTGTGTCGCTGTTAGAAAAGCGACCGATCAAAGTCCATCCCCCTCCATTAGTTGTCATATCACAGTAGACTTGGAAGGATCGTTGACTGTTTGGTTTTACAGTGTACACGCCGTTTCCGATTTCGCCTGAACTGCGAATCTCTGCACAATTTCGCGGGACAGCAGCAGCTAAGAAAATAAACAAACTAAGTCTCAATTTCGTTGTAAATTATACTTCGTTTTGATGCGGAAATTTCAATTGAAAATTTTTAAGCTCAAAAGTGTTCTCATTTTTTTAACCCTAAAACTATAGTCTTACGTCCCCCTAGAGACGTGACAAGCTACTAGGAAAACACTTAGATTGTAAATATCCAGTGTCAGTAATGCAAGGTTAACTTTGTATGAAAAATGTATGTATTTTGTGTTCTATCGGGATACGAAATTGTCCACACAAAAAAACAGGTGTTCTCATTAAACGGGTTCTGATTTTATCGGGTCATAAAGCGAGTTCAACTTTAATTGAGGTCGTATTGCAAAAYACATTTTGTAGTATTATTGACTTTTTTATCCTTGGAGTCCTGCCTAGTTTTCAGGCGTAAGTGTAAGAAATTATYTATTATGTACTATTTTTGGATCAGTTCTCGGCTCACTTCCATACGCACCCCATGCAAACACAAATAGTCTAAACGATCTGATACTCATGCAGCACAATTACTTTCTTCAATAAAAAATATTTTCGCCGAAAATTCAGTTGTGTTCTTTAAAGTAAAACTCGCTTTCGGAAGCGCAGCTTTAAAAGTGTATATGACAATAACTTTTCGCTCACATCAAAGTAAGGTATTAAAAATAGCTCCGAATATCGTCAACTTTGAGTAGATTATTTTGCGTTTAGTGTTTTCAACCGTAAAACGAAAACACCATGGATCAAAACAAATGGGGAAACATTTAGCCAGAAAAACAACTGGGGCATTGATCCCATGGCATAAAATCGTCATTTCATATCTTTTGCTGCCAACGATAATTTTTCATCGCATGCAGAAACCAAGAAGAGCCGTGAAAAAGTTTTATGAGGTAATATAATAAAAGAGGATTTAATATTTCATGATTTTAAATTTATGCTTACCATCTTGGCATTTTTCTCCTTTGAATCTTTCTTTACACTCACAGTGGTAGTACCTCTCGTTCTCGTGTGGTACGCACTTTCCATCGTTAAGGCAAGGATTTTTTTCACATGGTAGGTTCTATCAAACAAATTCCATACCAATAGAATTATGATCAGCAGATTCTCATAGTACCCTAAATGTCAAATCTTTGAATTTTATCCATGTCCAGATACAGGCTATAATCTAAGTTAACCTAAGTCAGGGCACGGTTATCTCACAGATCAAATCCTGAAACAACCTCTGGGCTGATCTAAATCAGGGCATGGCTAACTCACAGATCAAACCCTGAAACAACCTCTGGGCTGATCTAAGTCAGGGCATGGCTAACTCACAGCTGCTAATAAGAAGCTAACATCAGTAACATATTGTAAAGGTGGACAGGCTTTTACTTTTCTCTGTTCAAATTTCACAGGCTTCGAGGCTTACCTCTATGTTCATATGAGTMAAGTTTTCGTCTTGGATCAAGTACTYAGGGCTYGTATTGTTATCAGTYCCTATCAGCTCRCAAATGTGACGTTTGTCTATCTCAGCAGTGATCTTAAAATTGATCGAAAGACACCAAGACGTTTCAACGCAAGCGAACACACAATCCATCTTGCTGGACACTTTGGTGGACATCTGTTTGACTTTGGTCATGTTGGCAGGTAAAGACAGAATGTAACCAGGATGGTTATCAAACAGAAATCCTGGATGACGATCATCTTGTGAGATGGTTCCAGTGATGCAGAATAATGCTGAAAGAAGAGCTGCAAGTCTCATGGTTCTATCCCTTTAGGTATCGGTCACTTCGAATGTCGCACTTGAAGTTATAAAGTCAAGCATCAAGGTTTTGCACTTTCGCTAAGTTATGCTGAATCATTTATTAATTATTAACGATTATAAAGCCAGATTTCAGATTCCAGATCTCTTATGGATAACGTTTTACGGTTGAATAGGTGCAATGCCAATGAATACACTGTTTGATATTAGTATAAACAAAGTAGTAAACTATTCTAAATTCGTGCGTTATGATTGATTGAGTGACCTACTGATCCATTTCTTATACCAAAGGCAGAGAAAAAGCAGCCGTTTAAGTTTTAATTGATGAAATTAGAGAATCAGTTGAAATATTCTGCTGCTAGTTTGTTCATGTTAAAACAATTGGAACTCTCGCCACTCATGATGAGCTGTTGATTAGATAACATAAGTCATTCTGCTGCGCCTCGTTAAAACAATAATGACTTAGTTTTCTTACATAATATAAAATTACAAAATATTTTGAATTTGAAAGAAAAATAAAAGAGTAACATTAAAAATAAAGATAGATATGATATAGTAACAAAACTCTCCCCCCAACGACAATTTATTGTTAGATTTATATTATGTGAATGCAAGAAAAATTATTGCTGAATGGAAGTATATTTAGKCGGGTTGCATTGCCCAATTTAATTCAAATAGCTACAGTACTGCAAGCAATATAACCGTGGAACTTTAGTAATACAAAATCCATTGTTTTCCATTGTTTAATTAGCACTATTTTGTACTATTTATAGTAATTAGTGTTTCACGGATTAATTGTTTGTACTATAATCCCTAACTATTGATGGAAAAATTGTTTAAACTAATTAGTTAATACTCTTAGGCCTAGGGCAAACGTCGAACTTTCCATGCACCGAACTCATTAAATACAATGGATATCAGGTGATAATGAGGCGGCATTCTTTGATGTAATTAAGTTCGGTGCATGGAAAGTTCGACGTTCGCCTTAGGCCTTATAGATTCGCAAGGGCATAGCATAGTTAATTATTAACTATGGGCATTAAGTTTCATAAGAGAAGACACCTCAATATATAACAGGGATACAACACAATCAAATTAATCTTATTCTCAAGAGAATAAGAGCTGTGAGGATACCACAAGTGATCAATGTACAAGAATAGTTAATTGTAGTATTAAGTTTTAGGCTTTAAGTTTCTTAGAGAAAGTTCTTAAGCTCAGCTGTTTTAATGTATCATCAATTGATCAAAACAAGAGAAGTGCATATGATATTAAATACGATGAAATATACAACAACATTCATCGAATCCACAAATTAAGTGCATACGATGATGACTGACAAACACCACTTCCTTGGGCTACAATATCTCCGAAGTCACACTCAACTTCTGTGGTGGCAAAATCAGCTGCGTTCTCTTCTGTAATACCAATACCATGGTCAGCTCTTGCGCATGCGTCACCCCCTCCACCAATCATCATCACTGCTCCATCACCGCCGCCCCAATGACACCAAAACCCGATCCTATTACTGCTTTGGAGATTGCTGTTGCATCTTGCCTGGGAGAATCCATCAGTAGAGGAGTATTGGCCACCATATACTACRCTACAGCTTCCAAGACATGTGTTATTCGCCCAGACGACACCGTTGCGGAAGTTCCCATAGCTTGCTATCATTGAACGAAAGTAGTATAGGGGATGGGGG